TTTTCAGTTTCTCAATTTTTAATTTTTCCCTTTTCCAATTTTTTGTTTCCGATTTTTATTTTTCATTTTCCCGATTTTATTAATTTTCACTTTTTTGATTTTATATCACAATTTTGCTTTTTTTGATTTCTTCTATTTTTTGTTGTTCTTTCGATTTTACAATTTTTCCTTTATTAAATTTTTCAAATTTTCAGTTTTTTAGCAATTTTTCTTCAAATTTTCAAGTTTGATTGTCACTTTGTACATTTTCAAGATTTTATTATTCACTTTTTCGATTTTTTATTTTTGATTTTTCAATTTTACAATTTGTCGACTTCCAAATTTTCCAATTTTTCAATATTACAATTTCTCGTTTTTCCATTTTTTACATTCTCGATTTTTAATTGTGCCCTTTTTCAATTTTCCGTCCCCTCATTTTTTCAACTCCCCGATTTTTATTTTGCATTTTCCTGATTTTTTATTTTTCATTTTCTCGATTTAATATCACAATTTTTTGTTTTTTCGATTGCTTAATTTTTGCTGTTTCTTTCGATTTTCCAATTTCTTAATTTTTTTCTATTTCTCGATGTTTCGATTTTTCAGTTATCCGATTTTTTAATCTTTTTAAATTCTGGAGTCTCGATTTGTCGATTTTTCAGTTTTTCTGTTTTTTAATTTTAGATTTTCGAACTTTTCTTTTTTGATTCTTTGATGTTTGGATTTCTCCATTTTTCAATTTGCGATATTTCAATTGTTCAATATTTTAAATTTTAGATTTTTCGGTTTCTGGATTTTTTGATTTTCCAGTTCTTCAGTATTTCTATTTTAGAATTTTTCAAATTTTGACGTTACTAAATTTTCAGTTTTCCGATTTTTCGATTAATATATATATTTTTTGATTTTCCCGTTTCTCGAATTCGCAGTTTCGATTTTTCAGTTCTTCAATTCGTCAGCTTTTCGTTTTTTAAACTTTAGACTTTTCAATTTTCGACTGTTTTACATATATTTCGATTTGTGAATTTTTCGGGTTTTAAGTTCTTGCATATTCTAATTTTTCTTTTTTCCAAATTTTTTTATTTTTCGATTTTTCAATTTTCCAATTTTTTAGATTTTCAAGTTTTGACGTTTCTGAATTTTCAGTTTTCCGATTTCTCAATTAATCTATTTTTTTATTTTACCATTTTCGACTTGCTAAGGTTTCAATTTTTCCGTTTTTCAGTTCCTCAATTTTTCGATTTTTGAGGCTCCAGATTTTTCAAGTTTTTGATTCTTTAGGTTTGCAGTTTTTTGGCTTTTCGATTACCCAATTTTTTAATTTTTTAATTTCCCAATTTTTGGATATTTCGTTCAATTGTTTGTTTTCTCCGTTTTTCGATTCTTCAATTTTTCAGTTTTGGGATTTTTTAGTATTTCGATTTTTGGATTTTCCACGTTCTGGATTTTTCGATTTCCCGACGTTTTACTTTTCAGATTTTCAATTTTTCGTTTTTTGAACTTTCGGTTTTTACAACTTTTCGATATTTTAAGTTATCAATTTTTAAAATTTTTGTAACAAACTTCCATTTTTTCAATTCCTTTATTTTTTGTTTTCCCGATTTTTTAATTTTCATTTTCTCGGTTTTATGTCACAAATTTTCATTTTTTCAATTCCTTTATGTTTTGTTGGTTCTTTCGATTTTTCAATTTTTCATGTTCCCAATTTTTATTTTTCAATGTGGCGAATTTTTAATTTCTATTTTCTCGATTTATATCACAATTGTCTGTTTTTTCATTTCCTTTATTTTCTATGTTTTTTTTTCGATTTTACAATTTTTCAAATTTTCAGGCTTTGAAATTTCAGTTCGTCCATTTTTCAATTTTTAAATTTTTCACTTTGCAGTTTTTGGATTTCCAGTCTTCCAATTTTCCAATTTCTTTAATTTTAAATATTTCTCTTTCATAATACATATTTCTTATTTTTTTATTTTTCACTTTTCCGATTCTTAAGATTTTTCAAGTTTTCATTTTGTGATTTTTCGTTTTTTATTTTTGATTAAATTTTCAATGTTTCGTTCCTTCAATTTTTCGGTTTGCATCAGTTTTTCAATTTGGCAAATTTTCATTATCACAGATTTTCATTTTTCGATTTTTCAGTTTCTCAATTTTTAATTTTTCCCTTTTCCAATTTTTGTTTCCGATTTGTATTTTTCATTTTCCCGATTTTTTAATTTTCACTTTTCTGATTTTATATCACAATTTTGCTTTTTTTGATTTCCTTTATTTTTTGATGTTTCTTTCGATTTTCCAATTTTTCGTTTATTCAATTTTTCAAATTTTCAGGCCAATCGATTCCAATTCGTCGATTTTCCGATTTTTAAATTTTTCAGTTTGCAGTTTTTGGGTTTCCACCCCTTTTTTACTTTTTGGATCTTCAATTTTTCGTTAAAATTTAGATTTCTCAAATTTTCGACAGTATTATACGTCGATTTCTTAATTTTTTTTCAACTTTTCGATGTTTTAATTTCTCTTTCTTAAAATTTTTCAATTTTTTTCTGTTTCTCGATGTTTCGATTTTTGGATTTTTCGGTTTTTCCATTTTCCAATTTTCGATGTTTCGATTTTTCAGTTATCCGACTTTTTAATTTTTTTAAATTCTGGAGTTTCGATTTGTCGATTTTTCAGTTTTTCTATTTTTAAGTTTTACATTTTCGAATTTTTCTTTTTTGATTCTTTGATGTTTGGATTTCTCCATTTTTCAAATTTGCGATATTTCAGTTGTTCATTGTTTTAAATTTTAGATTTTTCAATTTCTGGATTTTTTGATTTTCCAGTTCTTCAGTATTTCTATTTTAGAATTTTTCAAATTTTGACGTTGGTAAATTTTCAGTTTCTCGATTTTTCCTTTAATATATATATTTTTTTATTTTCCCGTTTCTCGAATTCGCAGTTTCGATTTTTCAGTTCTTCAATTCTTCAGTTTTTCGTTTTTTAAACTTTAGACTTTTCAATTTTCGACTGTTTTACATATATTTCGATTTGTGAATTTTTCGGGTTTTTCAGTTCTTGCATATTCTAATTTTTCTTTTTTCCAAATTTTTTTATTTTTCGATTTTTCAATTTTCCAATTTTTTAGATTTTCAAGTTTTGACGTTTCTGAATTTTCAGTTTTCCGATTTCTCAATTAATCTATTTTTTGATTTTACCATTTTCGACTTGGCAAGGTTTCGATTTTTCAGTTTTTCAGTTCCTCAATTTTTCGATTTTTCGGGCTCCAGATTTTTCAAGTTTTCGATTCTTTAGGTTTGCAGTTTTTTGTCTTTTCGATTTCCCAATTTTTCAATTTTTAAAATTTCCCAATTTTTGGATATTTCGTTCAATTTTGTGTTTTCTCAGTTTTTCGATTCTTCAATTTTTCAGTTTTCGGATTTTTTAGTATTTCGACTTTTGGATTTTTCTCGTTCTGGATTTTTCGATTTCCCGACGTTTTACTTTTCAGATTTTCAATTTTTCGTTTTTTGAACTTTTGGTTTTTACAACTTTTCGATATTTTAAGTTTTCAATTTTTAAAATTTTTGTCACAAACTTCCATTTTTTCAATTCCTTTATTTTTTGTTTTCCCGATTTTTTAATTTTCATTTCTCGGTTTTATGTCACAAATTTTCATTTTTTCAATTCCTTTATGTTTTGTTGTTTCTTTCGATTTTTCAATTTTTCATGTTCCCGATTTTTATTTTCTAATGTAGCGAATTCTTAATTTTTATTTTCTCGATTTATATCACAATTGTCAGTTTTTTCATTTCCTTTATTTTCTGTTTTTTTTTGATTTTACAATTTTTCAAATTTTCAGGCTTTGAATTTTCAGTTCGTCCATTTTTCAATTTTTAAATTTTTCACTTTGCAGTTTTTGGATTTCCTGTCTTCCGATTTTCCAATTTCTTTAATTTTAAATATTTCCATTTCATAATACATATTTCTTTTTTTTTTTGATTTTTCACTTTTTCGATTCTTAAGATTTTTTAAGTTTTCATTTTGTAATTTTTCGTTTTTTATTTTTGTTTTTCAATTTTACAATTTCTCGACTTCCAAAATTTTCAATTTTTCGTTCCTTCAGTTTTTCAATTTGACATTTTTCAATATTACAGATTTTCATTTTTCGATTTTTCAGTTTCTCAATTTTTAATTTTTCCCTTCTCCAATTTTTTGTTTCCGATTTTTATTTTTCATTTTCCCGATTTTTGATTTTCACTTTTTTGATTTTATATTTCAATTTTGATTTTATTTATTTTTTGTTGTTTCTTTCGATTTCACAATTTTTCCTTTATTAAATTTTTCAAATTCTCAGGTTTTTATCAATTTTCTTCAAATTTTCAAGTTTCATGTTCACTTTGTACATTTTCAACTTTTTCGTTTTTTTATTTTTGATTTTTCAATTTTACAATTTGTCGACTTCCAAATTTTCCAATTTTTCAATATTACAAAATCTCATTTTTCCATTTTTCACATTCTCGATTTTTAATTGTGCCCGTTTTCAATTTTCCGTCCCCTCAATTTTTCAACTCCCCGATTTTTATTTAGCATTTTCCTGATTTTTTATTTTTCATTTTCTCGATTTTATATCACAATTTTTTAAATTTTTATCGTTTCTTTCGATTTTCCAATTTTTCGTTTATTCAATTTTTCAAATATTCAGGCCAATCGATTCCAATTCGTCGATTTTCGGATTTTAAAATTTTTCAGTTTGTAGTTTTTGGGTTTCCACCCCTTTTTTACTTTTTGGATCTTCAATTTTTCGTTTTTTGAACTTGAAAAATACAGGGTATGAGTGAGAATTTATGCTCAACTGTTGTGTGATAATTCTGAGTGATACCACCTTCAGCAGTGTGCACAACTGCGTTTTTACATTTGTATCTTCTTGGTCGGGTTAATGCATATCAGTCAGTAACAACAACAAAACTAGATTTAGTACTTAGTATAAAATAAACAATTTTATTCATAAATAAAATATTTATAGCGACAATTATCTGTGATCTTACAGTACTCATCACAAATATTTAAACACAGTTACAACGTTAAAAGGGGAATTTTTCTAAAGAAATTTATGCAAAGGCTACCTTATCAATTGTTTTCTTTCAAAGATATTTGAGTTTAACCTCGTTATATTAATAAGCGAACTGGTGGGGTTTTACTGTAGATACAGAGGCATTCAAAACATACTTTTAAAATGTTTTATTAAACTTCTGATTTGTAAACACAATAATCGTCCAAAAAGTGTTCACAGATCTGGACGCAATGGTCGAACCATCATTCTCACTTCCTTCAAACTGTAATCATTTCCGTGGGAATCAATCCAGTATGTTCTCTTCCATATATCCGACGAAGGAAACGTCTTACCCAAGAGTTTACCACTCAAATGAGCTCTCTTACAACTACGGTACCACCATCCGGCATTCGACCAATCAGCACAACTACCTCCGGCCCATAAATCATTATCTCTATCCTTAGTCGTAAATTTCATTCCAGCTTCCTGGGAGAAATAGTCTCCAGCGGTACCACTGTACCCTCGCAAGATCTCCATCGCATATTGATCTTCTGCACTTCCAACTTTGAAGGTCTTATATCGTGCATAGATTTCTTTATCGTCCCAGTCTACTAGTTCAATAAGTAACTCGTTGTACTCGTATCCTGTCAAACGAAAAATATTCTACAGAATTTGTACCTTAAAGGATGCTGCAGTACCTGTCAGTAAATGCATCTTCTCCAAACCTAGCCAAAATTCGCCCTCCGGCTTTCCAAACCCATTCTTGTAACTATTCCAGTCCAAGTAAAAGTCCTGAGATCCATCATACCTGTTCAGAATGACGGTCCAGCCACCACCTCGAGTTTGCATGTTGCAGTACACTTTGAAGGGTTCTAGTGCGTACTTAGGTAGGATGGTGTAAATCCCAGGAGTGTTGTGACCCTGTTTTTGAATTTCTTTACAGTTTGTCGGGACGTGTTTAGTGCAGGTGTTGGTTTCTGGGTTAGTTTTCTGACCTTCGTCGAGTTTGTTGGTGTTTTCGGTGCGTTCGGTAGTAGTAGTAGTAGTAGAGACGACGACAAACTACGTCAAAGTTTGAGTTTTTAATTGTAAAATTTTGTCGAATACTTACGTTGTCATTATTCGACTGTAGTGAAAATGTAGCTAGCGTCAGGAAAATTAGTGCACAAAATTTTGTGGACATCTTGTTTGACTCACTGGCGACCAAGGCCAACTAGATTCATATCGCTTAGCGCTGTACAAGGCCTCGTCACTCCACTGAAAATTGGGTTCCAGGATAGCAAGCCATGGAATCCCGAAAGTGGTGTCATCTATTCTCAAATTACGATACTGTATTTGAAATGAAAACAAGAATCATGTTCGTCAAGATCATTATAATTATTTGTGATAATTACTATCACCGGTTCCACGCTGTCACAATTGTCATATCGAATCAATCTTTTGCTACTTTTGTGTGTTTTGGGTTTCTTGGTCGTTTGTTCTCGTTCTGTATTTATATTGTTATTGTTAAGGTTCTCTTGGCATTTTGAATGGAACAAACAATTTAATAAAAGAACGCTTGTATGCAGAACTACAAAATTTAAAGCACCCTGCACAAAGATTGTGTTCCTTGATTATTGACGACATGTCAATAAAAGAGAAGATGATTTATAGTAGAGCAGAAGACCGCATTTATGGACTGGATAGTAATTCAAATTCTATCGGTAGTTAACCAAAAATTGCAAACAAAATGGCATGTTTTGTAATTAATGGCTTATCAGCACGATTTGTTATTCCAGCTGGGTATTTTTTTCATTCCACATTACAAGCTGCAGATTTCCATTCATTAACTTTGCAAGTTCTCAAACTTCTGACAGACTGTGGATTTCTAGTTTTACGCATTGTTACGGACAATCATCCCTCTAATGTAGGACTGTTCAGAAATTTATGTGGAGGAACACTCAGATATTACATTGAGCATCCATTTCTTCCACCAGTGCCTTTATTTCTTTCTTTTGATTTTTGTCATGCGATGAAAAATGCAAGAAACCTTTTTTTGCACCATAATATGAACTCCTCAGCTGGCATCATTTCTTCGTCCTATTTGAAATCCTTATATGGCCTACAAAAGGAATGGCCTGTGAAACCTGTCAGGTACCTTACCAAAAAACACCTATTTCCAACAAATCTGGAGAAGATGAATGTGTTGCGAGCTGTACAGGTTTTTTCACCGCCAGTTACTTCAGCGCTTAAATTATTAAAAGAAGATGGATATGATAATTTTATTGATGCTGATGGGACTATCTTATACATGGAAAACATGTATCATTTCTTTCAAGTGCACAATGTTTCAACTCGCAGGCACTACATTCATGCCCTCGATAGCACTGTTGCACCATATGTGAACGTTTCGGACGAACGCCTTCACTGGTTGAATGTGACTTTCCAACATTAAGTCAAGGATATTTAGTCTACTTCAAGCAGGACTGGTTATTCAGGCTTAAGCGACGAAACGGCACATGCTTTGTGTTTCACAGCAAAAAGCACATTTTTGTGCATTCAGTTTCTTCTTAAACAATCTGGATTTTATTATGTATTAACTAGATCATTTAGCTCGGACGCAGTTGAAGCAACATTTTCCCATATTCGCCTAAAAGGAGGCTCAAATGACACCACTGATGCTCGTGCTGCAGAATATGCTTTACGGCAAATTCTACGAAGTGGCATTTTAAAATCATCTTTATTTGCTAACACCGCAAGTACTGTTAGTCATGTATCTTTGAATCAACTGTCTCATCAGAGAAATCAAACAGCAGAGGACCAACTTGAAGAACTACTTCTGCCTGCAGATTTACGTTACAAAATTGATAGTTTAAAACGGAATCAAGTACCTGAAAGTAACCTCTACTCTGCATCCATAGCTTTCTTAGCTGGATATGTAATTCTTAAGCTGCAACAAAAAATTCGATGTGATAATTGTATTGCACCATTAGTATCAAGTACAATACCTGGACCTCTGCTAAAATTAATAACCCTTCAAGACCATGGTGGCTTAATACACCCAAGTGAACTATTTGTGGGACTTGTAAAGCAAATAGCCGATGTCATCCAAGAAATTTTACCACACTTAAGTTTTAACAAAACATGTGACCACCTGATTAAGCTCTTACAACCAAAATTACTAAAAAATCCATTACTACCTTGCGTTGAACACCAACAAGACCTCAGCGTGATCATTATACTAACAGTAGCAAAACCGGTCTTGTCGAATATATGTCTAGAAAAAACAGATTCTTTAAAAAGAAAAATAATAGACAACAAACCCCAAAGCAGGAAACTATTGAAGCTTTAATAAATGGTTTATTCTTATTATGGTATTATTTCTTGCTTGTTTTGAGTTTCTATTTAACACTGACATCAACCACTTCTGGCAGTGACACTTGGTCACATCACAGTGACAGTGACACTTGGTGTTTGGTGGCATATCAAAGTTGTTTAAAATCCCACAAGGTTGCTCCACTTTCGGTACGTTTGATAGGAACTTTAAAAAGCGCGAGTGACGAGGCCTTATACAGCGTTTAAGCAGTATGAATCTAGTTGGCCTTGCTGGCGACTTTGTACTGAGCATGGGCTGCTCACTCTTTACTCTTTACATTTCCCTGTAAAACACTAAATAGTTGGGGAACATTTCACCAGAGGCGCGGCGGTCGAATTTTAAAATTTGTAAATTTGAATTATCGTAGTGGCCTGTGATTACACGTCTGTTTTCTCCTGTCAGATTATTCTCACTGTGTTATTTTTGCCTTAAATCGTTATTATAAGTGTGTTCCTGTTTTGTATTCCTGTTTTGTGTTCGTCCTATTGTTGTTATACGTATTCTTGTTCTTGTTTTCATAATAGTTAGTTGTTCGTGTTTTTATAATAGTTACTTTGTTCGTGTTTTTGTAATAGTTAGTCGTTGTTCGTGTTTTACATCATTTTTATCAAAGACTATTCCATTTGTGGTTTATTATCATTAAGTTTTATCTGTTTCTCAAATTTTACAGGTACAAAATTATAATTATCATACCTACTGATCTTTTCATATAATATACATTTTGTAGCGTTATAATGACCAAATTAAGGAAATGTGCTATTCGTGGATGCGAAGACAGGCAATCTCCTCGCCATCGTTTTCCAAATCCCGCTAAAAATCCTATTCTTTTCCGAAAATGGTTGATTTTATGTGGGGAAGAAGAGCTCCGCAAAAAGGAACCTGACCTGATATATCGATCACACCGTGTTTGCCACAAACATTTTCGAACTGAAGATAGAGCTTCAAATATGTATCTGCGAAAGGACACAATACCTCAGTTATTCTTACCAAGTTTAACAACAGAAATCACTTCTTATGAACTCGCATCTACTTCTAACGGTAATGATCAAGTATACATACATGCAAAAATTGCAACTTTCAAACAGTCTAGTATAATCCATACATACATTGAATCTAATTTATTTCTTAAAATAATCATGTACTATTAAGAAAACAGCGGGACTCAAAATTGTAAACAATCATTGACAATTCTTATTCATAACGATAATGTGTTTCTTTTAAATGAAATTTCGGACAAGTGTATTATGGGTTGCATCACCGGTCCCTTAATTAAAAAGAATGATAAATTACGCTCCAATAATGTCGAACAAGCAGATAATCTATCAAATCAAATATTTTACATCAAACAAACAAAAGCAAAACAACTTAACAAAACGAAAATAATCCAAAGCTGAAAAATGATATCATTTCATTTTTGTGCAATTGCAGACTTAAGAAATGAGCACTAATCACTAATGATTTCAGTATGACGGCAAAATTGTCTAATCTAATTCATTTAAATAAATAAATTTTAGTACAAATTGGAATAATTATTCATTACTGCAATAAATAAAATATGTTGTATATTTATTCCCAGAAAATTGAGTCCTCCCATAAAATGGGCTACTGTAATAAGAAAACATGGACCACAGTGAATATTATACTTGTCAAAATAAAGTAACAGTTTTTATTTTTTAGGATGTGAGAATAACTTTGTTGTCAATCCTGACCCATTCCACTCCTGTCCATCTCCTTCGACATGTGAAGAGCTTCCCGAAAATCCCGTATTAAGAGGTTTAAAACGTCAACATTCCAATGCAATGGCCGAAAGTTGGATTTCAAAAAAATATATCCCAACTCATGTTTTAAAACAAATAGGTGTGAGTAGAAGTAAGTTATTAACAGGAACCGCCAAAGACATGTATCAGGTCACCAAAAAATTGTGTTCAAAATTGAATCGTTTGACGAAAGTTAAAAACATCTATAAGGGCAAACTAAAAAAAATCAACAAACAAGAATTAATAGATCGGGCAACGAGGCCATTAAACAACATCGTGCGTAATTTCATTAGAAGTCAAATCAGATTAGCAGGCTTGCGTCCTAAGGGACGGCGCTATACGCTGGACGATAAAATTATGGGACTTCTCTTACATCGACAGAGTGGCCGTGCTTACAAGTTATTATCCAAAATATTTGCACTGCCATCAAGAAAGACTGTCATGTCTCTTTTGAACAGAATACCCATAAAATGTGGGATTAATGAAACTCTTTTTGACAATTTAAGGGCCAAAGTTAAAGGTCTGAGTCGCAATGAAAAGCATTGCGTTCTTATGTTTGATGAAATAAGTACTGAGCCTCATATTGCATTAAATGTTCATACTAAGGGATTTGAAGGATTTGAAGATTTGGGTGACGTCAAGAAAGCAAAAATTGCTGACAGAAGCCTAGTTTTTATGATTAAAGGTGTGACTAGAGAATGGAAACAACCAATAATGTACGTGTTTTCCAATGGACCCACAAAAACTATTGATATAGTCCGGCTTTTGAAAAAAACTATTTATAAACTACACAGTGTTGGTCTAAATGTACTAGCCACAATTAGTGACCAAGGGTCAAATAATCAGGCTGCTATTAATTATTTAATGAACACAACTGTAACGTCTGGAGATTCTACATTAAACAAAAATCTGAAATATTTTATAGTTAATGATAAACAAATTATACACATTTACGATCCACCACATCTTCTAAAAGGTATCAGAAATAACCTATTAAAGCATGATATCATCTGGCAAGAAGATGATGAAACACTACGCGCACGGTGGGACGATATTCATACAGCTTACAAGATGGACCAGTGTTCAGTAGAATTAAGAGCATTACCTAAATTGACCGAGGCTCATGTACATCCCCAACACATAAAA